GCCTTGGCATCCTGGGGCCTGCAGGGCCTGCGTAGCTGGCTCCTCCCTAATCAGCATGGTCCTGCCCGTCCAGCACCAGCCGAGCTGTGCCTGGGGCACCACCTGCCTGGCGCAGCCATAGTCCTTGAGGAAAACAACAGCAGCTGCAACAGCAACACTAGCAGTAAAGACTATTGCAGCAGGTGATGCTGGTACAGGAGCCCTGCTCTCGGTGTTTTAGAAATATTAAGTCATCCACCCTGGCCAGGGTAGCTCCGTTGGTTGGGCATCAATCCTTGCACCAAAAGGTTGTTGGCTTGATTCCTGGTCAGGGCTCATGCCCGGGTTGTGGTCTGGATCTCCGCTGGGGGACATGCAGGAGGCAGCCGATGGATGTTGTGCTCTCACATCAATGTTTCTCTCTCTCCCCTTTCCCTTCCTCTCTCTCTAAAAATCAAATGTAAAAAAAAGAAGAAATATTAAGTAATTTAAACTTCACCACATCTCAAGCAGGTGGGTACTATTATTGTCCCCATTTTACGAATCTGGAAACTGAGGCTCAGAGAAGTGAAGCTCCTTGCCTAAGCACAGAGCCAGGAATGGTGGAGCAGGAATGTGAGGCTGGACTGTTTAGCGCCAAAGCCCAAGCCTTTAGCCACTAAGAATGCACTTTGCTCAGCAGCTGGGACGCTCCCCTCGTCTTGCTGCTTAGGCAGAGTAGATAGCTGCCCCCGCCGCTTTTGAAATTTGTTTTAAATATGCGTATCCTATTTAAAATTTTTGATTTGTTTTATTGATTTGAGAGAGAGAGAGAGAGAGAGAAACATCAATGTGAGAGAGACACATGGATCGGTGGCCTCTCGCACATGCCCCCGCCGGAAATTGAACCGTCTGGTGCACAGAATGATGCTCCAACCAACTGAGCAGCACCGCCAGGCAGAGCAGACAGTGTCACTACAGGGCCCAGTGTTCCCTGTCCACAGCACACTCGTGGCTTCTCAGCTCCGCCAAGGCATGAGCACACGGGGAGAGGTGGGCGGACAGAGCCCATCAGCGTGAGGCATCCATCGTGAGGTCGGGAACGAACAGGGAATCACACTGGCCTGGTTTTGTCCGGCCCCACCACTTACCAGCTGTGTGGCACTGGGGAATGACCTCATCAGTCTGAGCCTTAGTTTCCTCGTCAGCAGGATGGAGAGACCACGACTCACCTCGCAGGGAGGGTGCAGTGAGGCGAAGCATGCTTGGCATTAGGCTCAGGGCCTGCACACACAGGGGCTCAGTCAGAAGTGGTGGCAGGAAGCTCAGGATCCAGGGTGCTTCCTGAGACACGAGGCCGGGGGGATGTGCCCCAGAGGGCCCACCTGACTTGGATGCTCTGTCTTAAGGTCACAGCAGCTTCTCGCATTTTTCCTAGGCAGCTTCCTGCGGAGGGGCATCTCCATGGCAACACACAAGCAGCACCTGCTGGAGGAATCAGGTGTTGGAGAGAAATGACCTCCTTGCCTCATTCTGCAAGCCTCTGCTGAGGGTGGAGGGGACGTGGTTGGCCCAGGTTGGAAACTTGATCCTGGTGGGCCGCCCTGCGGAGGGGGAGGGGGCCGGCCAGCCGCTGGAGGTCATTTTCTCAGCCCGAGTGGTGATAATGCCTCGCTAAGCAGCAGCCTCCAGACCGGGGAGTCTGATGAGCCTCGAAGGTTGCCTTCTCAAGGGCTTTTCCCTGAGAGGAGGCACTGAGCCCCGGGGTTCGGGGTTCGAGAGCAAGGCTGATGGGGGAGGCTGAGTTTGCTCTGCTGTCGCACATTGTCCCCTCCTGCCCGCCTGGCCCAGGTCTTCCCTTACCTGGGGGTGGAGTGAGGTGTAGGAGGTGAGGAGGGGCTGGAACCAGCTGATGGTGGGCTAAGGAACTTCTCCTGCCGTCTGCACAGTGGGCCCCGGTGCAGAGGGTCCCAGGAGAGGCATGAGAACGAGAGCCCTCCGGCCCACCCCGCCCACTGGTGGGAGTCTGTCTCGTCCTCGGTTTCCTGAGTTCCGCATTGGGTCCGGCCTCGTTCAGACAAGCCTGAGTGTTTGTCTCTGCCTCAGTTTTGCCGTCTGTAAAATGAATAATTATTGCAGTCAAGTGCTTTATAAGCCATGGCTGCCAGGAAAAGGAGTGAGTGATTGTAAAACTCTCCAGCTTTGTCATGACTTTTGACTGAGTAATTCCGTTTAGAGCAGCGGTTCTCAACCTGTGGGTCGCGACCCCTTTGGCGGTCGAACGACCCTTTCACAGGGGTCGCCTAAGACCATCCTGCATATCAGATATTTACATGACGATTCATGACAGTAGCAACATTACAGTTATGAAGTAGCAACGAAAATAATTTTATGGTTGGGGGTCACCACAACATGAGGAGCTGTATTAAAGGGTCGCGGCATGAGGAAGGTTGAGAACCACTGACATACTATGTCCTGGACAGCTTTCCCCGTCGATACGAACTGATCGGCACCGTTTGAAATGGCTGCATAGAGTTTGGTTTCATGGCTGTGCTGAAAGCCAGCTAAGCATCGCTCTGTCAATGTCCATTTAAGCTCAACGTTTTGCTCTTAGAATCAATGCTGACATATCTTTATAATCAAAAAATTCAAACAACCAAAAATTCCTTGTGGTTTTGGGTTTGGGGATGAGAGTTTCAGTAAGATGGCCTGGGCGTGTTGCGGAAGGAGAGATTGGGGTGCAGCACAAGTGAGGCTCGGGGCTGGCTGTTTGGGGGAAGAATATCTAGTTCAGTTTAAAAAAGACTTGTACATTGAAAAGAGCCCGTCTCACAGGGAGAGGCACACTCTCGGCATTTAGGGCGGGAAGTGGCTCCGGCTGGGGCTCCCACCAACGGCCTCGTTACCTTGGAGAGGCCGCCAGCCGCTCTGAGAGACCCTGTTAGAAAGGAGACGGGGAGCAGGGAATGAGTTTTTCCAGCTGCTCCCCAAGATCAAGAGCCAGGCGCAGGGGAAGGGCAGAGAGAGTTGTAATGAGCGGAATGAATTATTGGCTTGTCAGCTCAGGAGGCAGCCTGGCCTGGTCGAAGCCTGGGCTCTGGGATCAGATGGCCCAGCTCAGGCCCCTGCTCTGTCATTTACCGGCTGGTGACTTGGGGGAGGCACCTCCTTTCTTTGAGCCACTCTTCCCTCCTCTGCAAGATGGGCACGATCACTCTTTCCAGCCTGGTGTGAGGAGTGTGTGGAGACTAATCACACGTTGTTCTTAGTGGGTACGATTCTAGAGCATCATCTAGTCCAAACACACTTCCGAACGCTTTCAGGAAAGAGAACTTGCTGTTCTTCACGGCAGCTCCGGCTCGGGTTGGCCACAGTTGGGAAGTGACGAGACTGAGCTGCAGGGGAACATGGGGTGTGGACAGGTGGTTGCCAAGCACGTGGTGACTGTGACAGAGGTGAGAAAGGAGGGAACGTGGTGGCCGTGAACTTGGAGCTCTACAGACGGGTTAGATGCGGAGGTGACAGCCAGGTTTGGTGTGACTGGTTAGATGCGGAGGTGACAGCTGGGTTTGGTGCGACTGGTTAGATGCGGAGGTGACAGCTAGGTTTGGTGCGACTGGTTAGATGCGGAGGTGACAGCTGGGTTTGGTGAGACTGGTTAGATGCGGAGGTGACAGCTAGGTTTGGTGCGACTGGTTAGATGCGGAGGTGACAGCTGGGTTTGGTGCGACTGGTTAGATGCGGAGGTGACAGCTAGGTTTGGTGTGACTGGTTAGATGCGGAGGTGACAGCTAGGTTTGGTGCGACTGGTTAGATGCGGAGGTGACAGCTGGGTTTGGTGCGACTGGTTAGATGCGGAGGTGACAGCTAGGTTTGGTGCGAGGCCCAAGGGAGATTCTGCTGGTGTGTGGCTCGGGAAGAACTTTCTGGGGAGCGGAGCGCCTGACTCCTGCAGGGCCTGTCGTTCTGAGGTGTGCTGGGGGCTTCCCTCGGAGGCTGGCGGGGGAGGTGGGACCAGACAGCCTCTAACGTGGGCTGTATGTCCAAGGTGCCCAGGACGTGACTGGGGAGGGCCAGGGAGGAACACAGGGGCCAGAGGCCGGGGTGGTGTGAGGGCAGGAGCCAACACTTTTGCAGGCCCGGCCCTAGGATCAGAGAGTGGAATCCCTCCCTTCTTCAGCCCTGCCCTCCAGACCTCCCGCTGCCTCCCACCCTCCTCTTGCTACAGGGCTGACCTCAGGGCAGGCTCCTGCTCAGAGACCTCACTGGCTCCCTGTCTCTCCTCTGCTTTCTCGGACCCTCTGTGGTCTGGACCCACGTTCCCCCAACTCTGCTTCCCTCGGCTCCGACTCTCAGCCTGTCCCCTCCCCCCCCCATGGATCTGCTGGGTGTTCTCCCTCTTTGGAATGTCCGCTCTGACCCTCCTGCCCTGCAGATCTGCCTTGTCCTGTCCGTCTCAGCTTGAGTCCCGCTTCCTCAGTTCCCACTGAATGGCACGGCCCACTCTACTCTCTCCTGTTCAGAATACGGACAGCTCACAGGAGCCAGTGCCACCAGATGCCAAAAACCGTGTCCCCAAGGGGGTCCTTTTAAACCACAAGCCGTACTCTTTACCTGCTTATGCCTCGTGTAAACCCTATGAGAGACAGTTATCCCCATTTCATAGACAGGAAACTGGCGTTCAGTAAAGATTCCACCTAAATAGCTTCTAATTGGCTACTTTTCCAATTCTTTCGTGTGTTGATGTCTCATCTCTTCAACTAGACTGAGTTCATTCAGGGGCAAAGCTCCGTGTTGGGTTTAGCAGAGCTCCCAGCAGGGAGCCTTGTGCGTTCCTGCTGGTTGGACATCTGCTGCCAACAGCCCCCAGCTTGTTGGGCCTCCACATAGACCTGAGGGTCCCAGGCGTGGCTGGGGAGCACCCACCCTACTGGTCAGATGTCAGGCTTGAGCCAGGGAGCGAAGGAGTCTGGAGCTGAGCCCCCGGCCTGGGGACCCACCCTGCACAGCTCACCATTTCCTTCTCTCCTCTCCTCCACCAGGGAACTCAATGGCAACAACATCACCCGGATCCATAAGAACGACTTTGCAGGGCTCAAGCAGCTGCGGGTGCTGTGAGTATGGGATCTGCTCCTGCTTGTCACCTCTCCCTGCCCCCTCCCTCGGCAGTGGCCTGTGTGTCCTAGGCAGAGCCCTGGCTGTGGGTAGTAGGGTTGTAGGGTTGTAGGCAGGCTGGGCTCCTCCACGTGGAGTCCGTCTTGGGACACCCTGAGGGTGGTGGGGTGGAAGTGATGGTGAGTCCTGACCCGGAGCAGCCACTGCCTCCAGCATGGCTGAAAAATTGGGTGATGGCATAGGCACCGGTGGTGGCTGCCTGGCGGGACCTGGGCAGATGGGGCTGTCTTGTCCACCGGTTGTCTCCTGGGGTGAGGGAAGACCGAGGGACCGTGCGGAATCTTTAGGTCTCTGTCTTTGTTCAGGCTGCTCTAACAACATGCTACAGATGGGGTGGCATCAACAACAGAAATTTATTTTCTCACAGGCCTGGAGGCAAGGAATCTAAGATCAAGGTGCCGTCAGGGCTGGTTTGTGGTGGGGCCACCCTTCCCGGCCAGCCGCTCGCTGTGTCCTCAGGTGGCCTGTCCTCTGTGTGTGCACAGAGAGAGCTCTGGTGTCTCTTCCTACAAGGACACCAGTCCTAGCAGATGAGGGCCCCATCCTTATAACCTCATTTAACCTCAGTGACCTCCCTAAGGGCCCTGCCTCCAATACAGTTACATCGGGGTTAGGGCTTCAGTGCATTAATATCTGGGAAGAGGGGGGAAGAGCGGGGACAATTCAGTCTGTAACAGTCTCCATAGTTCCCTTGAACCTGTGGCCCAGAAAACTCCCCAGCAAGGGGCTGCCCCTGGCTTGAGAGGGCAGGTGATTGGGAGCACTTGAGGGTAGAGTCGATTTCCCTGGGTTGCTTGGCAGCGGCAGGTATTGGAGGCAGTGGGCACGACGCTATTGGGAAAGGAGCCTTCAGCAGCACCTCCTCTGTCATGCTGGGCAGGGGTGAGGAGCCGGGAGGGTGCTGATCCCTTCATCTCTCCTTCTCTGCTGATCTCGATGCGGAGGCAGCCATCCTGATGCATTGAACATCAGACAGTCATAGAACCCCTCGTCCCTTATTCCCAGGGAAGTGCAAGGGCCCTGGGGCCTCAGTTCTATCAGAACTACTTGCTTTGCATTCATTTCTGAGGGTCTTTGGAGGAACTGGGGATCTTGTGGCTGATCCTCTCTGGGGTCATAGCTATCGCCACTGATCTCTGACCCCATCCCAGGCTCCAGAAATCTCTTTTGAGCCTGAGGAAGCTCCCCTTCCTTCTGGTTTGTGTCCTTCTTCCCCACCCAGGTCTACACTGGGAGCTCCTCAGTAGCATAGGCTCTGGAAACAAGAGGAGAAAAAGAAGTGGGTGGTGGTCGTTTCTGCCCTCTGCCCTGTCTCAAACCTCATCTGCGGTGCATGTGGGAGCACATAAGCCACCCGCTGGAGAGTGGAGAAGGGAACGTGTAGGGAGAAAAACACGTTTGACAACCTCAAAAATTACCATGCAACAGGCGATCTGTTGGCAAAAACTGCTGTCCGCCAGCTGGACACTCTGGGCTGCATGGCGCATTGGCAATGAGGAGGTGCAGAGCCCCATGGAGCCAGGTGGCTCAGCTGGCAGCAGATGGGCCAGGCAGAGTCGGGGTGCAGGCGGAGGGGGTGTCGTCTGCCAACTGCAGAATGTGCTGCATGTGTGGGCTTTGCCCAGTTGGCACCGGATCCTCTCCCCCTGCTACTGGCCCATTCTGTCCATTCTGCCCCTTGGAAACTCACCCTCTGGACCAAAGGAGGGCACGTGCACCTGCAGCCCAAAGCAGCCCCTGCTGCCTGCTGCCTTGGGTCCGGCTTCCCGAGCATACCTTGGAGCAATGACCTGGTGCTCTGGTGTCCTGTGGCCTTCTGCCATGCAGGGATCAGCATGGGGCTGGGGCTGGAAGCGCATCTTGCGGTTGAGGCTGGGTATGCTGAGGAGTCCCTGCTGGGAATTGGCAACGTTGTGAGGAAATTTTGTGGGCTCAGGCCGGACTCAGGTCGGCACGCGTCTCAGGCACAGCTCCTGTCTCACTCCCTTGTGCCAGCTGTTCCCAGGAGTCCTTGTCCAACATGCTGTAGCTGTCTTTGTCTCTTCGCTTCCTCAGGCAGCTGATGGAGAACCAGATTGGAGTGGTGGAACGGGGGGCTTTGGACGACATGAAGGAGCTGGAGCGGCTGTAAGTATCTGTGGGTGTGGGCTCAGGAGGGCGGTGGAGGCTGGCTCTGAAGGGACACGAGCAGACTGAGCCTGGTGGCCAAGGGGGTGTGTGCTCAGGGGCAGGACGGCACGCCCAGCCTGCCTCCCGCCTGCTGATAGGAGCCAGGGGCAGCTGCAGCGTGGACATGGTCACGGCATCATCATGAGCTCACAGCAGAGAGAAAGCTGGAGACTGTCCTCATCCCACATTCTAGATGCAGCTATTCCCCTGCCGCCCCCTGGGCCCCGAAAATGCATTATGGCAAAAAATCCACACATTACAGAGGAAGTGAGATTTCTTCCTATAATCTCATACCCAGGTGTAAACACCAGTCACCGATGTGTGTGGCCTCAGGGAAGCGTTGGTGTGTGGAGGGGACCATCAGGGAAGCCCTGGGGGCACTGAGGAGCCATGTTTTGGGTGCTCAGGGCCACAGAACAGACACTGGAAGGTGGAGGCATTTCGGACTTGCATGGTTGTTCCTTACTGGGCTTTCAAGTTTGCAAATGTGTCTTCATCAATTTTTGCATTTCAGATGGGCAGTAATGAGGAAAAAAAGGCACATGGTATGGGTGAGGTGGTGGGGGGATTGGCACTCACATTCAGGGTAGCCACCAACCTAATTTTTCTTTTTTCTTTTAAATTTTATTTATTGATTTGAGAGAGAGAGAGAGAGAGAGAGAGAGAGAGAGAGAGAGAGACAGACATTGATTTGTTGTTGCACACATTTATGCATTCAGTGGTTGACACTTGTATGTGCCCTGACCAGGGATTGAACCCACAACCTTGGTGCATCTGGATGATGCTCTAACCAACTGGGTTCCCCTGCCAGGCCCAATCTCATGTTTTGGCAAAGTGGTTTGTATGTAGGTGTCAAGAACTCTATTGTTCATGCCTTTTGAGCCAGAAATAATCAGAGACATGACTAAAAACATGTATATATCAGGATGTTCATTGTACATTATTGAAATACAATAAAAAATTGGCAACAGCCGTTCTGGTGGAAACATAGCCGTAAAATCACACTTTGGGGGAACAATCACAGCCATGGGAATGTACACACAATATAATGTTAAGTGGAAAAGGTAGGAAGTGACATTTGTGTAAATAAAAATTAACTTGTATGTGTACAGAATGCAGGAGGAGGAAAAGAATTGATAATATTAACTCACTGCATTGAGTGGTGGGTTAACAGGTAACTTTAATTTTATTCTTTGTGCTTTTATATTTTTATGGATTTCCCAATGATTTTATAATAATAGCTACTATTGATTGCCTTACTCTCTGCCAGGCACCAAGATAAGCTCTTTGCCCCTCGCCCCCAATATCTCCTTAAATCCTTGAAACAACACTGGGTCAGTGGGATCTTTCAGATGAGAAATAGAGGTGCACAGAAGTTAAGCACTTGCCTCATGAAGTGATTATTAAGTGATTACATGCAGGAGAGGGGATTAGAACTGGGACCATGTAGCCTCCAAAGCCTGAGCTCTTAATGGCTATGTTCTAATACCTCCCTTTTCTCTTTTATATAAAAGAAAATAAGGTATTAAATGAAAGGGAAAGGGTAGGGTTGTCTCAGTGCCTTCCTGCAGGTCAAGGTGACCTTTCCTTGGCCTTCCTCAGCCAGCCCTAGCCTGGGTGACAAGGAGCCCCCAGCTGAACAGATAAAGGGCTCAGAAATAAACATACCCCACTCGTGACCTGGTTATGAGGGGCTGATTTGGACCTAACCCATTCCAGCTTCAGCTCGGGTACTGCCAGGCCCCGGAGGAGGAGAGAGGGTGGGTTGGGGTTCAGACATGGTCTGGTGGCCCTCGTCATGCCTGCTTCTGCCATCCAAGGCAGGGCCCTACTTTTTGAGTCACGACATCACTGCAGACTTTGTCCCTTCTGTCCTTTTCCAAGTTCCTTTCTTTGTGGCTGCTCTGTCCCTGGGGGTCCAGGGCTTGCTGTGGACGGCCGGCACCCTCTCGGACTTGTCGGGGACCCGTGGTGAATCATTTAATCATAAATGTTGGATGAAGTGGGGAGTCATGAACACCACACATACTGTAAACATCTCATTTTAAGTTATAACATATAAATGAGTACTTATTGACCTCCCCTCCTACCCCCCTCCTTTTTTTAATTTTTTTTTTGCCAAGACCTTTCTTTTTATTATGAGATGCTGATTGGAGTTTACCTAAACCACACATGTGCACCTTACTTAGGAGTTTTGGTTTTGGTTTCTCTAGGGTGAGTGAGATTTCTGAAGGGTCCTTGGGAGCAAGCGGGGTGGAGGATCCTGAATTTCTTGAATGATCCTCTTGCCCTGCAGTCTTTTCCGTAATTCATCAGCCCTTTAATTAGCAGATTCCCTTTTAGTGACTCTTTCAAAGCATTCAGCCTAGTTTTCAGAGATGACTCTCTCTTTTCGCACTGGTATCTGGTTTGTTTATGTAACAGTTCATTCAATTATACAATTATAATTATAAGTACCTCTGGCTAAACAGGCTTGGGAACAGACATAACTGGTCTTGTGAGCAGTTACAGACTTGAGTGCAGAAGCAGCCGCGTGCGGTTCTGCGGCCATGAGGATCGGGGTGCCGCGGGTGTCAGGGCCTGATGTTGGGAGGGGGTGCAGCGCTCAGGCACCCTCAGCTGGCTGAGTGGGGGTCGTCGATGTGTCTGTCGTGTGGAGGCAGCCAGAATGGGGAGCTGGGGAAAGGCAGACTTCAGAACCTCACCTCCGGGGAGTTTGGAGGTGATCGGGGGTCACTCACCTCTGGACATCCTAATTCCTCTGATGTCAGAGAGGCCAGCAGCACAGTCAACAAACACGTCCCGAGCATTTGTTAAGACCAAGCCATGTGGCGCGATGGTGGTGGTGACGCCTTCACCGTGGGGTTGTTGCAAGGAGGAGACCCGAAGACGTGTGTGTGAACGTGTGTGAACGTAAGGCCTTGTCATCGAGAAAGAAACCCTCCGTTTTATTCTGTCTTTCCTACGACGGGAGGTAATGCCTACAAAACATCTGTTCTGGTGCCTGGCACACGGTGAGGGCTGCTATGGCCTGGTAGCCACTGCTGCAGGGTGTTATTCTTAGCTCCCTGCAGGCCCCGCACCTCGCTGGGACCCGCCCTCGATGTCCTTTGATTTTCCACTTTAACTAGTTATTAGATCCCTTTTCCTTTTAAGTGTTTTTCAGAAATTGAAGCTGGAAAACTGAGAACATCTCGGGGGGGAAACAAAACAAAACAAAAACCAGTGATTACCAGGCAGTGTAAACACAGGATTAATTTATTGGAGGAGGTTAAGGAACTTGGAGCCATCTGAGGTCTACTGTTGCTTTAAGGATTCTCTTGGTGGTCCCTTTTTTCTGAAGCAGCGATGCGTTTTCCGAGGAGCCGGTCCTTTAGGTAACGCTTCCTCCAGCTGGTCTAACTGCCTGTGCTGTGCTGGGAAATGGTATCTCTCTCACATAGCAGATAGAGGGTGACTCCTAGGAGGTAAAGTGCCAGCCACATAGAATTACATTCCTTCCTCCCTCCTAGCAAAAGGGAGCTTTTGCTGAGCTGGTTGATCATTGTCTAGATCTGTCAAAGGAGAGGTTGTGTGAAACTCAGACTGTGCCATAGACGGAGGGCAGGGGCTGCATTTACCGCAGCGCTGCTCCAACCTCGCTGAGCACGCAGGCCGCCTGGGGATCCTGTTGAAATGCAGACTGGCTCTACAGGCCTGGGGGAGAGCCTGACATGGTGGGGCTCTTAGCAACTCTTAGGTGATGCCCCGGCAGGTGGTCCAGGGGCCACAGTGTGAGTACCAAGGCTCCATAGTTTACAGGTGTCACATCCCCTGATGGGCTGGAGGCCAACACCCCAGTGTCAGAGAATTAGTTGCCTGCTAGTCATGGGGGTGTAAGGTACAGCGTAGGGAGTATAGTCAGGAGCGTTGTAGTAACGATAAGCGGTGGGTACAGACTTAGTGGAGTGATCACTTTGTAAGTTACATCTATGTCTAATCACTGTGTTGTACATCTGAAACTCACATAATAGTGTATGTCAACAGCACTTTAGAAAATGAGGGAAAAAAGAGTGTGTTGTCTAAGGTGGCGAGATAAGTCTGGGTAAACTTTGCTGCTTCCCTGGGACGAGTCCAGGTTCTTTCTGCACGTCTTCTCGTCAGGCTGCATTCCAGACCCAGACTGCCCACTCCCGCCTGTTTTATTACGCTGAGAAGTTGTCCGTCCACCACTAGAGGAACTAGGAATGGTGAACATAGGCAATCGGTCACTGCAAATGAAGGGGTCGTTCTCTGTTGTTTGGCATGAAAGGACACCCACAAATTGTTGAGTCAGAAACGTGCAAGTGGCCGAACATGTTTTCTTCTACTATTTGAAGCCTTAAAAAAAAAATTTAGCATGCATTTCCATAAATAATTAAAAAAATCAATAAAGCTATTTTTGTTTTGAAAGAAGGCCTAAAAGCAAACAATAAAAGTTGAGTTGCCACTGAGCCAAATGTGCATAAGAACAATAAAGAGCCAGAAACATGTGTCCAGGGAGCATTTGATATCTTGCTCCCCAGTGTATGTCATCAGTTTGGCTCAAATAAACTCATAAAAATTCTTAAAACCAAAACAAAACACGCGACCAGTCCTGCCCCATTGGGATATACCTCATATTTCATGTGTACTCAGATATCCAACTCACACACTGAGAGAGATCGATCAGGGCCTTTTAGATCACAAAGGGTCCTGCAGCTGTACGAGCAGATGCTGATGGGCACGGGAGGAAGTAATGGCAGGAAAGGTGCTCTGCTTATTGCCCGCCCACTCTCTCCATGGCAGGTCCCGGGGCGGGGGGCTTTCACGGATATTCTGCTCATATCCTCCCCAAGTGTTGGATGGCAGAACTCCCACTTTATAGATGAGGAAACTGAGGCCCAAAGAAGGTGATTTCCCTGGGATTGTACAGCAACCATGTTAGGATTTGAACCCTGGGTTCTCTGACTCCGAATCCAGTGCTTTCTGAAAAGCCCTGTGGACTTCCTGGATTCCCCCAGCAATCCCCAACTCCTCCTCTCTTCTCTTTTGCAGACGACTGAACCGGAACCAGCTGCACATGCTACCAGAACTGCTGTTCCAGCATAACCAGGCTCTGTCCAGGCTGTGAGTGATGCTCCGAGGCCAGAAAGCTCCCTCTGGGCTCTTATCCCTCACCCTGTGGGAGGGAGAGGGTTTGGGCCGTGGGGTCGGGGCTTTCCCGTGACCCCCATGTTCCTCACGGGGAGGAACTGCTCAGGGTCTCAAAGGTCAGGCCTTTGCTGTCGGAAGGTGCTGTGTGGGCCATTTCTCCATGGCAGGCACCTGACCGAATCTGACGTTCACCGCGTTCCATGTGCTGCCTCTGCCGGTTCGGGGCTCTGGGTGGGCCCGGCGCTGCAGGGTGGACATTCATACCCATCCCTCACTGCCTTTGGTAACCTGCCGTGGGTCAAATTTTCATTCATTCAGCTAAGTCCTTCTTGGGCACATTTCTATTTTCAGCTCCGAGTAATAGGGTCTGCTAACGTAGACCTTGTTAATGTGTGTAATGTCATACTTTTATTTGTTGTACATGTACTTCTTCCAAGTTTTAAGGGTCGTGGCTAATTCTGCTGCTTTATGATTTGCCAAGCGTGTCTGTGATTGTTCTACCGTACATTTCATTCCGTGGGATCTTGGGTTAAACAGGACCTTCCTATCTAAGAAATCTCTTTCAGCTCCTTAGCACAGGGTCCGTTAGTCTTTGCTTGCCTGCCTCTAGTGATGGGGAGTGCACCACCTCCCGGGGCAATCAGTTCCATTATTGAAAAGTCTGCATGGTAGAAACACTTTTTAAATTTTGAGCCCTGAATTTGCTTTCTGATAATTTATGGCTCCCCCTCACCCCCCACCCCAGCTTTGCTTTCTGTAAGTACCTAGAACAATCATAAACTCTCGTTAGATTTTTGAAGGGTCATCATTGGGTTTTTGAATTTTGAGTTGGGAGGTTTTTGAGCGCCCTTAGTTGTTGTCATTAAAAACCTGAAACACCATTGCACCGCGTGAGATGCTGGGCAGCTGGTCCCTCCTGACGCTTGCCGGGCAGCACCTAGCGGAGGAAGAAGCAATAGTGATGCAGGTGAGACTGAGGGGTAGGGGCTCGGTGGGAGGTGGCACCTGGGGCTACCTGCGTGCTGAGGGGCCAGTTCTTCCCACCTCTGTCATGATTTCCAGGCCTCTTGATGAGCCCAGTGGTCTCCAGAATGTGTCACCCGATTCTGCCTTCAAGGCTTGTCTGTAAGATGGAACTCTAATTTTCAGTCTGGTCACTTTCTGTTTCTTTGCCCTCCTGGCCGGGAGGCCTCTCACAGTGACCCTCAGCGATGGCCCCCTTGGCTGTCTTTGCCACCCTTGGGCGAGAGCTGGGCTGTCTGTGACGTGGTGCCAGGCACACACAGGGGGTGCGCGTTTCTTTTCTTTACTTAACTGCTGAAGGCACAGAACCTTCCTGGCAGATGCAGCCCCGACACCTCCATAACGTGCGGTCCATGGGCTGGCGCACAGGGTCCATGGTGTTGCTGCTCACGGGCAGGCGGCTGGCCTGGGCCCAGCAGCGCCAGTGCCTCCCGTCCCTTCTCCCAGCTGCTGTGCAGCGTCTTCACAGCTTTTCTCTCTGCAGGATTCATCCTAACGCCTCTTCTCTTGGTCTCCTCCTGCACTTTCCCTCCTCCTGAGCCTCTCAGCCTTTCCAGCTGCCGCCCTCGCTCTCTGGGCAGATGTGCTCCTTTCCCTCAGCCACCACCCAGGGCCAGAGCCTGTGTGGAGTGGAACGTTGCCAAACTCTGGCCCCCTGCTTTGATAGTCTTCATTTATTTTATTTAAAATTTGTTTATTTAAAAGTTGTAGCTTTATTGAGGTATCGTTGGCAAATAAAATTGTAAGCTATTTGAAGCATACTTTGTGGTGATTTGATATACTAGAATGTATACATTGTGAAAGACTCCCCCATCGAGTTAATTAGCACATCCATCACCTCACATGTTTATCTTCTTTTTGTGTGTGAAAACATTTGCGTTCTCTGTTAGCAGGCTTCAGTTATACAATACAGTGCTCTCTCTTTTATGCTCCAGAGCCTCAGACCTTACTCATCTCAAAGCTGAAAGTTTGTACCCTTTGACCAACCTCTCCCTTTTCCCCCACCCCCGAGCCCCTAAGATTCCATATGTAAGTGATACCACCCAGTATTTGTCTTTCTCTGTTTGGCTTATTTTACTTAGCCTAATGCCCTCAAGCTTCATCCATGTTGTCACAAATGGCAAGATGAATAATATTCCATTGGTACAGTATATATATATATATGTTTGACATGCTTGATATACATATATATTTATATACATTTCACATATCTATCTATCTATCTACCTTGTTTATCTTTGCCCCACCCCTCCACCCCCATTTTATCGACCTAAGCATCAGGCATTTCAGAACATCTCTGTTCCCGCTTCCAGTGGTCTGGCTGAGGAGCACTCAGCCACTCTTGGTTTCAGAAACAGACAGTAAGGGTGGGGTATTAGTGTAAGGGCGCAATCAGCAGACTCACTGGCTCCCTAGGACAGAAAGTGAGGTACAGCTGGGAGTGGGCATGAGTGTGAGAGATATTTCCAGTCCTTTCTTAATGTCTACCTTATTCTACTCATCCCTGCAGACCAGTGTCCTGGGCTGACGGGCAGCATTTCAGCTCCACCTGCCTTTGGTTGGCTACAGTGCTGACTCCCCTCCTGCATTCTGTGACCTTGGCGCTCAGACCCTCCAATGTCTCAGGTCCAACCGCAGGTTTCTGGGGGAAAGAATCCGCTTGGCTCACCTTAGGTCAAGAGATCGCGCCGGGGCCAATGAGCTGTGTAGGGCTTGTGGGGTCACCTGCAGTCATATTATAGAGCCCACCCTTCCCTTAGGAGGCAGGGAAAGGGGGAAGGCAGTGCCTCCTTTCTGGTCTGTCACCTGTTGACCTTCCCTCTGCTCTGAGAGATCCATTACTAATCCTTTCCATCTGGAGCAAATCATTGGCTTTCCTGCAGAGGCCGTGATGCTAAATCAGCATGAAACCGAGTCTGAGAGACCAAATGTTCAGGGTAAGGTGTGGTCAGAGTATGTCAGGTGGTGGGGTCCACATTTCGGTTGCTTTTATCTGTGAGGCTTCCAGGAGTTAAAAATCCTGTAACTGGTTATTGCCCCTGATGTTGGGTTAGTCTGTCTATTTCTTTCCTTATGCAGAACCTGTGGCCCAGAGAGGTGATTTGTGTTGGACCCCAGAGCAGTTTGATGATAGGGTTGGAATTCAAGACCAGGCTTTCAAAGGTCCTTAGAAAGCCTGAAAATGGGCTTAATCCTTGCCCTAGAAATCTCATGTTTGGGAATCTATCGTGAGAAATGATAAAACATGGGCACAAACATGTTCCTTGCAGCATTATGTAGAATATTGAGATGTAAACTGTTTCTATATTGAAATATCAAATATGGTAAAGAATATAGAACAATTTGAATGTCTAACTTTGGGGGAACGGTTAAGTGAATTATGCTGTATGTACTTGATGGAATCTTTATAGCATCATCAAAAATGGCCTTAATGAAAGACATAAGTAATGCAGATAAGTGTTTGTGATATCAAAAGCCAGGATGCAAAATCGTATTAACAATATGATCACGAAATAAATCACTCTAAAGAATGCACATAAAAATGATTGTAAATTCCCACAGGGTTGTCGCTGGGTGACTTTTTCGTTTCTGTGCTTCCCAGATGTTCTATAAGCAGCATGCATTATTTTTATGGCAGGAGACCTCCCAGTTTTTATAAGCAACGAGAAGCCTCTGTAGCTTGAGTTCAAGTGAATGCCAGATGCGTAGTGTTGGAACGCTTCCCTGAACCCCATTGAGCCCCATTTGCTCTTTTGTCAGATAAAGATAACATCTACCTCTCAGGCTCTTGTGGGGTTCAAGAGAGGTATAACCTGCTTTCATGTCGGGTGTGAACACAGTAGATGCTCAGAAATGTGAGATGAATCCATATGGGAACTGCTTCAGAGGATGGCAAACCAGACTGGAAGAGGCGCCCAAGGTGATCCCACACCCTCCCTCTGGGCATTGGTCCCCTGTCAGGCCCTGCCTCCACTTCCTGTGTGATTGAGCCTCACTTCTCTTAACTTGGAGCCATCCTCTCGCTTTGCAGGAACCTCCCCCAACAGGCTTTTTTTTTTTAAATGAGAGACTTAGGTTTACCTGTGGAGGCACCTGCTGGCTGGTGTGCAGGCAGCAGCTGGAGCGTGGCTTGGGGCAGCCATTGCACAGGCTCAGGAAGTTGACAGAGGGAATCTGCCAAGCTCAGAGGGTTCGACATGCCCAAGGGGCTGAGGCAAATGTAAACTCTGGTCTGTCTGACGCTAAAGCTCGTCCGTCCAAAGTATCCATCCACCCCCTACTCACCAGCCATCCATCCCCTGCACCCACTACCTGCTCACCTACCCATCCACCTACCTACCATCTACCCACCCCCACCCTGACTCCCACTCACCTGTACTCCCACTTACCCATCTACCAGCCACCAGTCAACCCACCTATCCCTGTCCTCCCTGCTCTCCCACCCTCCTCCCATCTAACAATCCCCACTTATTCATCTGCCTACCTACCCACTCTTCCTCTCATTTACTCACCAATTGCCCATTTACCCTTCCAGCCCCACACCCATTCTCCCTCTCCTTTCCCACCAACCAACCCACATATAAACTTGCCCACATACCCAACTCTCATCCCACTCCACGCCTTCCCTCCTCCCCTCTCCCCTATCCACCTTCTGTTCGTCTACCCACCACTTGCTCACCCATTCATCCAACAGTTCCTGGGGGTGTCCTATGGACCAGGCACTGTTCTAGGTGCTGAATACTATTGGGGTGATGGCTTGTGAGAGAGACTGGTGGGGCACTGCCTCTCCCGGGGTGAGGGTTTGGGAGCTCTTTGAGGAGTGCTCTTTGAGAGCTACCTGCCATCCTCTGACTACCAGCAGGTTGGAGTGGGCTGAGGGGCAGATGTTTCCCTGGCTGGACCCGGCTCCCCTATGGGGGGTGGTTATACCCTGCTGGTCCATTACCTGG